AAAATGCAATTTATTGACATTCCCCGGTGTTGTAACTGGATTTTGGAGTTCTCGGCCACTAAAATCACCAACGGCGCAATGTTATGGCCGGGATATTAGATCTGCAGATTTGGTTATTTTTTAAAGTTAGAGGACGGCATGCTTGGAAGATGCTGCGGAGAGCTCATTCTCTGCTCGCTCGACAAACCCAAGCGGCCCATAAATCTTTGGCAGGTTTGCAATTTAACAGCTTGTCTCTTAGGAACGATTCCATCCCCTGCCGGTGCAACCATACGTCCAAAAAAAAATGGAAATGCTCTCCCTTTCCTGTCAATGGATTCATCGAATTGGTTCTGGCTTTCTTTCTTTCCGGATTGTTTCCTCGCAGGGTTGTTGTGAGGCGAGGGTGGAAGGAGGCAGGAGGCCCGGAGTCACTGCTACCGGTTTTCCCGAACCGGCTGAAGACCACCTCTGATCAGAGGGAAGGAGAAGGAGGAAGAGGTAAAGAATAAGTAAAAAAGAAAAGAAAAGAAAAGAAAAGATAATGATCTTGAGGACTAGAAACATGGTTGGGCCTGGTCAGGGGTAGAGACAGCCCTTTTTGCTACAGAGGGGGTTGAGAATGCTTTCTCGGAAGGCGGGATGAAAGCGAGTAAGGGGCAGGGCCAGAATCCAAAGTGGGCGGGGTCAGAATCCAGTGGGCGGGCACAGGACAAAACCAGGTGGGGCATAAAATGGATTGGTGGGGGGGGGGGAGGAGTCTTCTTTTCTATCCCTTTATTCATATTCTCTTTTTCCCTCCTGCTTTTTTACCCAGCTTTCCTTTAAATCTGGGTTGCTCTTACCAGTGGTCTGAACGGATTTCTTGCTGTTTTTATTTTTAAACCATGACAGGAAGTTAAAGAGGGAGGAAGGGGCAGATCAAATCCTTCTCCCCACCACCGTCGCCCCGAAATTTCGAAGACCTGCATTGCCCTTTGTATCAGACACCAAAAACTTAACACAAATCACTTTCTTTTCTTCGATTCTGCTAATAAATGCAGGGATTAAAAAGCATTCCCTTCCATTCTTACGAAGATTGATTTTTTTAAAAAAATTAAATTAAAATACTGTGGTTTTTCCTGCCCTGAAAAATCACCTTCTGAGTGGCCTGAAAATATGGCATGATCATAGTAAGAGCAATAATGATAATAATAATAATAATAATAATAATAATAATAATAATAATAATAATAACGACAATAATTATAGCAACAATAACACCATCCGTAAAACAACCTCAATGATCACCCTGAATTATTATAATTTTTTTTTCATTTATCCGTTATGCAGCTGCGTTGTTGATGATAAAAAGCCATTTATTTCTTATAGAGAGAAGAGGAAAGGAATTGAGAAGGCCTCTCTGCTCCAGAAATCAAATATTTACATGTCTGAAAAAAACCCTCATGGTCCTAGTCCATATGAGGGCATCCTTTGCATAACAGAAAACAACTGGCACAGTTCCTCTTCACAGACACATTGCAAAGATTATAAAATAGATGATAGATAGATAGATAGATAGATAGATAGATAGATAGATAGATAGATAGATAGATAGATAGATAGATATGAGTGGAGGGAAGGAAAGGAGGAAGGAAGAAAGGAAGGAAGGAAGGAAGGAAGGAAGGAAGGAAGGAAGGAAGGGAAGGAAGATTGATTTTGATGAGATGGGCTATATAAAATAGATAGATAGATAGATATGAGTGGAGGGAAGGACAGGAAGGAAAGGAGGAAGGAAGATTGCTTTTGATGAGATGGGCTATATAAAATAGATAGATATGAGTGGAGGGAAGGAAAGGAAGGAAAGGAGGAAGGAAGGAAGAAGAAGGAAGGAAGGAAGGAAGATTGCTTTTGATGAGATGGGCTATATAAAATAGATAGATAGGAAAGAAAGAAAGAGAAAGAAGAAAGAAAAGGGAAGAAAAGAAAAAAAGAAGGAAGGAAGGAAGGAAAGAAGAAAGAAAGAAGAAAAAAGAGAGAAATAGATGGCAGCCCTGTAGCTGTTGAAATATATATTTTTTTCCTTTTAGCGAAAGCTAAAATTCTTAAAACATCTCCTAACTGGCCAGGCCATGCAAGCATTAAAATCCATGCGCTTCGGTTTTTAAATGCAACACAGACAGAAGATCTCAGGCTAAACCCGTCTTTTCGGCGTGGGGGAATTGGGGGCAGGCTGAGTCACCTGGGGGGGAAAAACAGGGGAAATAATAATAATAATAAAAAAAAAACAGGCCGCAAGTTTAAAAAACCCGCAAAAGCACTGATCTAGTTTGAAGAGAGCGACGCATTCCATGCACGGCTGTTTGGGAGTCAGATTGTAAAAATGAACAAACACAGCTCATCGGAGAGGGAAGCATCCACAAAGCAAGTTAATTGTTGCGTGCGGAAAGAGACACCCAGCGCTTCAAGACTGCGACGTGCCCCGCTGAGCCAAAATACTGCCTCTAATTAGGATGACAAGGGCGTCCCCTCAGCCATGCACACAAAACACACACACGCACAACTAATCTTGGGGGTTTCTCTTTCCAGCATACAAATATCTTGAAAACCTCCCTTGTTGGCTTTTCTCGTATTGATTTAAGACCTGGTGGATTTGCACCGCTGGATCGGGCTAAAAACTTCAGACCAGTATCGGTCCACCTTGGCAATTTTAAGATGGGTGGATTTCAATTCTCAGAATTCCCCAGCCAGCCATAGCTGTTGTGGTCCGCGAGCAGTCCGCGGAGCTAGCAGCGGAATTGGACAGTGAGGAGGCTGGGGAGGACCATGGGCCAGTCCTGGAGTCTGGGGAGGGCTCTGTGTCGGAGGCAGAGAGGGGGCCAGGGTCATCTGGGAGTGATGCACAGACTCCGGAGCCTCCAGAGTTGAACAGCAGAGAGGCGGAGGAACAAGAGGAGCCTGTTCCTAGTGCATGCATGCACAGAGCTGCCAGAAGGCAAGAGCAGCTAAAGCAAAAAGGACCACTTAGGGGTAAGGCCAGGAGATGATTGGCCCCTCCCATAAAGCTTAAAAGAGCAGCAAAGGCTCTTGGGCTCTTTGTAGGAAAGCAACGTTGCTAGATCTGTTTCCAGTCGGTGTCTCTTATTTCTGAACTTTGTGGGGCTTTGCCAAGAAAAAGACTTGGTTTGCAATTAATTTGGACTAAGCTGGGAATGAAGTAATTTTCATCTGCTATAATAAAACAGGTATTTTTGGGGACTAATTGTCTCTTGTAATGACTAAGTGAGCCTAGGCCACAACAATAGCTGGGGAATTCTGGGAGTTGGAAGTCTACCCGTCTTAAACCTTCCAGGTTGAAATATACTGTGTTAAGACTCACGATGTGTTCCCACCAATCTAGACAGCCATTAGTAGGGATAATGCCCACCCCGTATTGCCCCTTTAAGGGGACAATGCTTTCAAAAAGAGAAATCAAATTTAATCCCCTTTGTTGACTCCATCCCATTGGAAAATCAGAATATTCAGAAAGTTGATTTCAATGGATGTGATCTGAATCCTTGCTTTGAAGTTCCGAATGGGAGAGCAGGATTGGAAAAAGTCTAACCGGATTCCGACAAATCAAACTTTCAATTTACCCAGTCATCGGAATGGCACCGTTTCGTGCAACCCACTGAATCCACTTGTGGGATTTCCCTGCAGGGATTTGTCCAATCTCACGGATGCAACATGGGAGTTGTCCCAAAGGTGCTTTTTCAAGAGGTAACTGGACTTTCTGGTATTTTCTTTGAAGACGTTTCGCTTCTCATCCCAAGAAGCTTCTTCAGCTCTGACTGGATGGTGGGGAAGGGAAGGATTGATCCTCCTTGCAGACAGCTGGTCATTTGCATCCTTTTAGAGGGTCGTTGAGGCTACTTGGAGGTTTATTTGTGTCCTCAGGGTCACCTGAGTGGTGCAAATTGGTGTGGAGCTTTCTTGGAACTGTTGAAAGGACGGTGTCGTAGATTGATAGATTGATAATAGATTGGAGATAGTTGATGTTGCACCACTCAGGACACAGATAAACCTACAAGTGGCCTCAACGACTCTCTAAAAAGGATGCAAATGACCAGCTGTCTGCAAGGAGGATCAATCCATCCATCCTCCATCATCCAGTCAGAGCTGAAGGAGCTTCTTGGATGAGAAGCAAAACACCTTCAAAGGTCAAAAACCAGAAAGTCCAGTTGCCGCTTGAAAAAGCGCCTTTGGGACAACTCCATGTTGCATCCGTGAGATTGGACAAATCCCTGCAGGGAAATCCCACAAGTGGATTCAGTGGGTTGCACGGAACGGTGCCATTTCAGATGACTGGGGAAATTGAAATTTCGATTTGTCGGAACCTGGTTAGACTTTTTCCAATCCTGCTTTGGGACAACGAGGACCTGGATGACTGAGAATCTCCATCAACATGGAGTTGTGTAACCCCAGGAGATAACTCTTGATTGAGATCCTCCATGGGTCCCTCCCAAACAATGTGAGTTGTTGGGTCTTCCTTAGACGTGTGGTAGGGGATCCATCTACCCTACCCTGAGGTCGTTCCTTTTATCGACTTCAGATCACGCGCTGAGAGATTTCAAAATCAATGACCGGATGAAGCAAATCCAGCTTATTCAAGGAAGTTCTAGCTATCTACAGTATCAGCTGTATATAGACAGTCAGGCTCAAAGAGGTCAATCATAGAAGTTGCCAGAAGACCATGCGTGGATACAGGTGGGGATTGTCCTGAAACGTTGGGTGGCTTGGGAGACCCAGAACTGCAAAATCTGATCTGGTGGAGAGAAAGACCCCCCCTCTCCACCCCTTCCCAATGCTCCATCCTGCCAAAACTAGGAATCGACACAAAAATTGTGAGGATTTGGTTCTCTGTCTGTATACCTGTCCTTAAAAAACAACAACAACAACAAAATGAAAAAGTTGTAAACTCGTAATACTAAGGCAACAGATTTTTACCCACCTGGGATTGGATGTTAAAATGCAAAAAAGTCAACCCTTTTGTTTCATGCAGATAAGTTCGAGTTCATGTCGCTTTATTTCATGCAAAGATCCACCACGTTTCTAGCCCTCATTGAGGCATTTGTGAAAACGTTTGAAAACACTGGCAGTAGTCACGGGACACCCCCCCCCCCGTTTTAGGATAAAGCGGGCCAAGTAGATGCTTTACTTTTTAAAGTGTTACTGTTACGAAGGTTTACAATTTTGTTGTCGCATCAGCTGGCAAGCTTATGACTTTTGGGGGCCTGGTTTTTTTTTTCACCCCCAAAATCACGCCGATTTCCTGATTGCGAGTAAATGTTAAAGTTTCTCCTTCCGGGATCCCATCGTGAGAACCGGGACAACGGGATTTGCAACAAAGGTGAGTTAAACAGTGTGAGTTTGCCAAACGCCACCATTTCCGATCCGGGTGAAAGAAAATGGGGGCTGTTGGCTTGTAATTGTGTTCATGGGGGGGGGGTGGCTGAGATCCAAGCCTCCCCCCCCATCTTGTAGTCAGCAGTGAACAATAGGGGTTTACGGCGGAGGCTCAAGAACCCTGTTGGTCCAACTTTCCCCATCACTGGACGTATTTGGAGGTTGGAGTTTGCCATCTTGGGATGCTCTCCCCAAAGTCCTTTCTCATCTCTATGGCAAGGAAGACACAGAAAGGGTGTGACACCCTTGTACACTGACACAGTGTGGCTCACAATGGAGGAAGATCCTGGCGAGGGGCTTCTTTCCTGACCCCCTTTTAAAACACCCGTGTCTGCCATCGTCCCCACCTCCCGTGGTAGGGAAGCTTCAACGACACCCAACCACCCAACTGTCACAACATATGTATTATTATTTTTTTGCCATGGGTTTGGGTAGGGACTTCAATTGGGTAGCTGGCGCCCCTTGGTAACACAGACCACAAAACAACATTCTTCTCTCGGACAAAGAGAGAGACAAAACGAGACTGAAGGATAAAATCAGTTCGCAAGGACTTTCCCCTCTGGCACAGACCCTTCCCCACTCTTCTCCCGGGGTCTGGTGCCGACACAAAGTCAGCGGATCCGAGCACAGACCCCTCCCCCCAAATTCTTCCAAATCACGAGAACCCAAGTAAGAGATATCAATGCTTCAAAATCGAGAGGACTCGAGCCATTGGTGCTCTCGTGTGTCCAAACCTAGGATCTGAATTATGAGGATCAATCATTCTGAATCAAGGAAAACTCGAACAACTGGTCCCAATTCGTCTCAATGAAAAGGACCCAAGTCAGTTGATCCGACTTGGTCCAAATTCTGGATCTGAATAATTGATGCTCCAAATCGAGAACGACTCAGGTAATTGTCTTCGTTTGTCGTTCTGAATCAAGAAAACTCGAACAACTGGTCCCAATTTGTCTGAATGAAAAGGATCCAAGTCAGTTGATCCAACTTGGTCCAAATTCTGGATCTGAATAATTGATGCTCCAAATTGAGAATGACTCGGGTAATTGTCCTCGTTTGTCCAAATCAAGAATCTGAATTACAAGGACCGATCCTTCTGAATCAAGGAAACTCGAACAACTTCCAATTTGTCTGAATGAAAAGGACCTAAGTCAGTTGGTCTGACTTGGTCCGAATTCTGGATCTGAATAATTGATGCTCCAAAACAAGAAAGACTCAAGTAATCATCCTCGTTTGTCCAAATCAAGGATCTGAATTACAAGGACCGATCCTTCTGAATCAAGGAAACTCGAACAACTTCCAATTTGTCTGAATGAAAAGGACCCAAATTAGTTATCACTTGATCCGAATTCTGGATGTGAATAATTGATGCTCCAAATCGAGAAAGACTCAAGTAATCGTTTTCGTTTGTCCAAATCAAGGATCTGATTTATGGATCGTTCTGAATCAAAGAAACTCGCAAAACTAGTACCAATTTGTCTGAATGTAAAGGACCCAAACAAGTTAGTTTACCACTTTGTCCAAATCTTGGATCCAAATAATGGATGTTCAAAAAAAAATCAAGAAAGACTCGAGCAATTGGTTCCTCGTTTTGTCCAAATCCAGGAGGATCGGAGTTATCCTGACCCTTTTTTCTCCCGAATCAGGGATAGTCAGGCAATGAGTGCCAATTTGTCTGAATGAAAAGGACCCAAATCACTGGTACCAATTCATCCAGATCATCGGGCCCAGGTAATTGACTCCAATTGATCAAGAGGACTTCAGTAACTAGTACCGATTTGTTTGAGGAAGATTTAAGGGCACCCGATCAAGAAGATTTCAAAAACAGAGACCATTCCTTCTTATTCAGGAAGACCCAAGAAACAAAAAACATTCTTCAAATGCCAAGGGAATTATTTGTGGCTCAAAGAACCCCTTTACCTTCTCATATAACTGTCTATCTATCTCTTACTTGGTTCCTCGGTTCAACCATCTCAAACCTTTTTGGTCCTTCATCCCATCCAAGATCCGAATCTGTGGGAGAAATTTAAAGATTTCTCACTGGGAGGAAGGACCCACATCGAACCTGGGGGGTGGGGTGTTTACTCCCGAGGAGTGTATGCTAACCCCTCCATTTATTTATTTATTTTAAATATTTTTTTTGCACGAGCTGATTTTATCCTGGAGGCCGTAGCCCACAACGAGGACCCTCCTAAAGAACGCAGAGACAGACCCATCCAATCCCTCAAACGTCCCCCAACCCTACCATCAAGACATGCCTACAACAGAAGGGGACAAGAACAGAGATCTTCAAAAAAAAAAAAAAAAGAGGGGAGGGGGAAGGAGGGAAGAGACACCCCACCCCCCACAAACCAACAGCCCTGAAAACAAGCCAAAAGGAAGGAAGGAGGGAGGGAAGGAAGGAAATGGGAAGAAGGAAGAAAGGAAGGAGAAAGGGAAGGAAGGAAATGGGAAGAAGGAAGGAAGGAAGGAGAAAGGGAAGGAAGGAAATGGGAAGAAGGAAGGAAGGAAGGAGAAAGGGAAGGAAGGAAATGGAAAGAAGGAAGGAAATGGGAAGAAGGAAGGAAGGAAGGAGAAAGGGAAGGAAGGAAAAAGGGAAGAAGGAAGGAAATGGGAAGAAGGAAGGAAGGAGAAAGGGAAGGAAGGAAATGGGAAGAAGGAAGGAAATGGGAAGAAGGAAGGAAGGAAGGAAGGAAAAAGGGAAGGAAGGAAGGAAGGAAGCAGAAAGGGAAGGAAGGAAATGGGAAGAAGGAAGGAAGGAGAAAGGGAAGGGAGGAAAAAGGGAAGGAAGGAGAAAGGGAAGGAAGGAAATGGGAAAAAGGAAGGAAGGGAGGGAGGAGAAAGGGAAGGAAGTTAGCATCATCACTCACTCTTCAGCTCTGTGTGTTTAGTGTGAGCTTGGCAGCCGCAGGTATGTAGATACAGGCAAGCAGGAAAAGCTGGGGGGGGGGTCTTTTGTTGGTTTCCAAGGATTCCCAATGTTCAGATGGGGGGGAGGGAGTTTCCCCCCCTCCCACGTGGTTGCAATGTTTTATACAAGTTCAAGAAGCATCATGAGCCAGCAGATGTTTTTATGCCCCCTTCTTCCTCTCTCTCTCCTTCTCCGTCCGTGGTTAGTCTCGGCCCCTGCCTTTCTACTGTTCCTCTGTTCCTTCCGTCCAATTCCTTCCCGGGCACGAGAGAAATGCCATAGACATATTGGGTGGGTGGGTTCCATTGTCATCCGATGGTTGAGGTCGGGGTCCACTGGGCCACTACAACTTCTTCCTTTTTTCCCCCTCCTCCTCCTCCTCCTTTCTCCCCCCCGGCTGCCCTGCCACCATGCCCCACCCTTCCCTTCTTAGATGAAATATTCCTTCTTGTCGTCCCCGCCTGGTTGACCTCCCTCTGCGTTGATAATGGCCGTGTCGGCATCTGGGGCGTCGTCGGAGCCTTTGGCCTCGTGGGTCAGGTAGGTACCTGTGTGGGAGGGAGGGAGGGAGCGAGGGAAGGGTGGTGATAGAGAAGAAAGGAAGGAAAAGAAAAGGGAGGGAGGGAGGAAGATGATAAGGAAGGAAGGAAGGAAGGAAGGAAGGGAGGGAGGGAGGAAGGAAGGAAGGAAAGAGAAAGGGAGGGAGGGAAGGAAGAGTGGTGATAGAGAAGAAAGGAAGGAAAATAAAAGGGAGGGAGGAAGGAAGATGATACAGAAGGAAGGAAGGAGAAAGGAAGGGAAGGAAGGGTGGTGATAGAGAAAGAAGGAAAATAAAGGGGAGGGAGGGACGATGATACAGAAGGAAGGAAGGATGGATAAAGGGAGGGAGGAAAGGAAGTGGTGATAGAGAAGAAAGGAAGGAAAAGAAAAGGGAGGGAGGGAGGAAGATGATAAGGAAGGAACGAAGGAAGGGAGGGAGGGAGGAAGGAAGGAAGGAGAAAGGGAGGGAGCGAAGGAAGAGTGATGATAGAGAAGAAAGGAAGGAAAATAAAAGGGAGGGAGGAAGGAAGATGATACAGAAGGAAGGAAGGAGAAAGGAAGGGAAGGAAGGGTGGTGATAGAGAAAGAAGGAAAATAAAGGGGAGGGAGGGACGATGATACAGAAGGAAGGAAGGATGGATAAAGGGAGGGAGGAAAGGAAGTGGTGATAGAGAAGAAAGGAAGGAAAAGAAAAGGGAGGGAGGAAGATGATAATGAAGGAAGAAGGGAGGGAGGGAGGGAGGAAAGGGTGGGAAGAAAGGGAGGAAAAGAAAAGGGAGGAAGGAAGAAGATATGGAAGGAAGGAAGGAGGGGGGAAGGAAGGAAGGGGGGAGAGAGGGAGGGAAGGAAGAGTGGTGATAGAGAAGAAAGGAAGGAAAATAAAAGGAACGGAGGAAGGAAGATGATACGGAAGGAAGGAAGGTCGGAAGGAGGGAGGGAAGGAAGGAAGGAGGGAGGGAGGGAGGGAAGGAAGGAAGGAGAAAGGGAGGGAGGGAAGGAAAAATGGTGATAGAGAAGAAAGGAAGGAAAATAAAAGGAATGGAGGAAGGAAGATGATATGGAAGGAAGGAAGGTTGGAAGGAGGGAGGGAGGGAAGGAAGGAAGGAGAAAGGGAGGGAGGGAGGGAAGGAAGGAAGGAGAAAGGGAGGAAGGGAATGAAGAGTGGTGATAGAGAAGAAAGGAAGGAAAATAAAAGGGAGGGAGGGAGGAAGATAAACGGAAGGAAGGAAGGAAGGAGAGAGGGAGGGAAGGAAGGGTGGTGATAGAGTAGAAAGGAAGGGGAAAAAAGGAATGGAGGAAGGAAGATGATACGGAAGGAAGGAAGGTCGGAAGGAGGGAGGGAGGGAAGGAAGGAAGGAAGGAGAAAGGGAAGGAGGGAGGGAAGGAAGGAAGGAGAAAGGGAGGAAGGGAATGAAGAGTGGTGATAGAGAAGAAAGGAAGGAAAATAAAAGGGAGGGAGGAAGATAAACGGAAGGAAGGAAGGAAGGAGAGAGGGAGGGAAGGAAGGGTGGTGATGGAGTAGAAAGGAAGGGGGAAAAAGGGATGGAGGAAGGAAGATGATACAGAAGGAAGGAAGGAGAAAGGAAAGGAAGGAAGGGTGGTGATAGAGAAAGAAGGAAAATAAAGGGGAGGGAGGGAGAGAGGAAGGAAGGAAGGAAGGAAGGAAGGATGGGCGAGAGAGAGAGAAGAAGGTGATGGAGAGAGAGAGAGAGAGAGAGAGAGAAGGAAGTGAGGGAGGAAGTGTGAAGAGGGGAGGAAGAAGACAAATGAGAAGTTATTTGGCTTAATGCCTGAGTAAAAAGGACACAAATTATTGCAAATCTTCCTTCTGCAGGCTGGCTAAAAAGGAGGCGCATCGGAAGCTCGCAAGTTATTCCGATCTCTTAGGCCAAGTGCCCCAATTTTGACCACGCAGATGCTGCGCTGGCCGTAAGTGCAAGGGGCGGCCACCTGTGACTCCAAGACACATGAAGGTGGAACGAGAGGGAGCGGCCCTTACCTTTGTGCCGAATCAAGTAGTGTCCGAGAACGATGAGGAGGATGAGGAGGAAGAAGATGACGAAGGCTACGACGCCCCCAACAATGGCGTGGTAGCTGCTCCTTTGCGGTGTCATGGGACTAGCATCTATCCGGAGAGAAACAGGAGGTGAGACTCAGCGGCCAAAGCAAAGTGAAAGTAGAAAATAGGGATAGAGAGAGAATAGAATTGGATTTCGAATAGAAGAGAAGAGAAGAGAAGAGAAGAGAAGAGAAGAGAAGAGGATAGGATAAATAGAGAATAGAATAGAATAGAATAGAATAAATAGAGAATAGAATAGAATAGAATAGAATAGAATAGAATAGAATTAGAATAGAATAGAATAGGATTCGGAATAGAATAGAATAGAATAGAATAGAATAGAATAGAATAGAATAGAATAGAATAGAATAGAATAGAATAGAATAGAATAGAATAGGATTCGGAATAGAACAGAATAGAATAGAATAGAATAGAATTAGAATAGAATAGAATTAGAATAGAATAGAATAGAATATAGAATAGAATAGAATAGAATAGAATAGAATAGAATAGGATAAATAGAGAATAGAATAGAATAGAATAGAATAGAATAGAATAGAATAGAATAGAATAGAATAGAATAGAATAGGATTCGGAATAGAATAGGATAAATAGAGAATAGAATAGAATAGAATAGAATAGAATAGAATAGAATAGAATAGAATAGAATAGAATAGAATAGAATAGGATAGGATAGGATAGGATAGGATAAATAATAGAATAGAATAGAATAGAATAGAATAGAATAAGAGTAGAGTAAGAATAGAATAGAATAGAATAGAATAGAATAAGAGTAGAGTAAGAATAGAATAGAACAGAATAGAGAATAGGATAGGATAGGATAGAATAGAACAGAACTAAGGCTGGTCAAGAATTATGACCACTTCCAAGTTCTTGGCCAAGATGAAACGTAAACTAAATACTTTTGGATTTTCTTTTTTCATTTGCCGATCGTAGAGAGCCAGGATGGATTTTTGACGATTTTCAATTGAGTTTCTCCGCTGCTCCCCACCCCCACCCCAAGTTTGTTGGTGCAATAAAAGTTGCTAACCAGGACAAATATGGATGTCCTTCCTCCTCCGTTGTATCCACCCGGACTCCCTGGTAGGCTAATCTCCATAACAAAATTAGGACCTTTATTAGATTGCTGGAGATTAATTTTTAATGACTCTGGGTATTGTCTGAAGTTAATTTTTAATGGTGTGTATTTGGGTTAATGACCTTTCCAACCCGGCTGATTTTCTGCCTGTCCCCCCTGTTGCAGAAACCAAGGCTTTAGGCATTGGCCGTAAGTAAAAGAATTAGTCAAAGCTGGCATTTTCCTCACAAAAACACTGGAGGTTCTGAATTGAACACTCATTTGTCCAGAATGGTGTAGGGCAGCGATGGCTAACCTTTTTGCCATCGCGTGCCAAAAGCGGGGGTCGTGTGAGGGGTAGCACACGCGTGTGCCCACACCCATAATTCAATGCGCCCCAGCCCCTCTGTGCTCCTCTGCTTTCGGCACGTGATGGCACAGTGGGCCCGGTAGGCCCGTTTTTCGCCCTCCCCAGGCTCCAGAGACTTTCTTGGAGCCTGGAGAGGGCTAAAACAGCCTTCCCACCTCCCCGGAGGCCAGAAATGACCCGTTTCCCAACTTCTGGTGGAACCGGTAGGCCTGTTTTTTCCCCTCCCCAGGCTCCAGAGGCTTTTTAGGAGTCTGGGGAGGGTAAAAACAGCCTTCTCCGCCCTCCCAGAGGCTCTCCGGACATTGGAAACAGCCTGTTTCCTGACTTCTGGTGGAACCAGAAGGTCCGTTTTTTCCCCCTCCCCAGGCTCCAGAGGCTTTTTAGGCATCTGGGGAGGGCAAAAACAGCCTTCCCCACCCTCCCAGAGGCTCTCCGGACACTGGAAACAGCCTGTTTCCTGACTTCCGGTGGAACCAGAAGGCTCGTTTTTCACCCTCCCCAGGCTCCAGAAGCTTTTTAGGAGTCTGGGGAAGGCAAAAACAGCCTTCCCCACCCTCCCGGAGGCCCTCCAGACACTGGAAACAGCCTGTTTCCCAATTTCCGGTGGGCCCGGAAGGCCCAAAAATCAGTTGGCCGGCGCGTGCATGCGAGTTGGAGCTGAGCTAGGGCAATGCTCGCATGCCCACAGATATGACTCCATGTGCCACCTGTGGCACACGTACCATTGGTTTTGCCATCACGGGTGTAGGGTTTCCTGCTTGAGCAGGGGGTTGGACTAGAAGGCCTCCAAGGTCCCTTCCAGCACGGTTATTCTGTTAGTATAGTCAATTTAGCAGAGGGGCTTAAAAAACACGGCTTACCGCTGACAGAGAGGGTGTATCTCGCAATGGAGTTGCCCACAAGATTGGAAGCATAGCAAATGTAAGTCCCACTGTCGCTTTTGTTTAAGTTGGGGAAGGCGAGGATGTTATCTTGAGCGTCCAACAAGGGGGCGTCGACACCGTCCTTCTCCCACTTGTAATCCTGAGGGCTGTAACGGAAGGAAGAAGGAGAGACATTTCAAATGACTTGAACAGCTCAGTGAATCAAAGAGAACGGGAGACGTTTATTTTGGGCTTTGTTTACAGGCAGTCCTCGCTTAACAACCAATTTAGGGCCCGTAAAGTGGGACTGTCCAAGGAGTAGGTGCAGTGGCCTAGAGGTGGAGCTCTCGCCTCACAAGCAGGAGGGCTGTGAGTTCGATCCTACGTAGAGGCAAATATTTCTCTCTCTAGGCACAATGAGAATATTATCTGTTGAACAAAACTCCGCCCTGGCAACAGTAAAGGCATCCGGCCATTCAAATGCTCTGCTAGCTCCATTCAGTTGCCGGACTCCACCCTGCAAGGGATTATGGGATCATTAAACGAAGATGAAAGCGGGACTCTTCAACCTTGGCAACTTTAAGACTTGTGGACTTCGACTCCCAGAATTTCTCGCCTGGCTAAGGAATTCTGGGAGTTGATGTCCACAAGTTACCCAAAGTTGGATTCTCCCTGCTGTAAAGCACCCCCTGGTGGTCGAAAGTGACCACATGTCACGCAGGTCCGCTATACAAACAATGTTCTGCAGTCATGTGACTACTATTTGCAAAGTTTTCACCTTTTTCCAGCCGAAAAACCCTCATTCTAATGAATGGGCTGCTTAATGACCACAATGTTTGCTTAACGGCCACCGTGGAAAAAGCCAGAGATTCACTTGCAGCAGGCATGTGGTAATGTTGAGTTCAATTGCGGTTATAAATTGAGGATTATTCGTGTCTATCATTTCAATTTTTGAAAAATGAAAAGAAAGAATAAGAATGAAATACGGAAAGTAGTATGGACTGATCCCATCATCATTTTTTAATAATCTCATGTGGGGTGGAGTCTGGGCAGCTGAATGGAGCTAGCCGAGTTTTTTAATGGCCGGATGCCTTTCCTGTCGCCAGAGCGGAGTTTTGTTCAGCAGATATATTCTCATTGTGCCCAGAGAGAGAAATAACTGCCTCTACCTGGGATTGAACTCACAGCCCTCCTGATTGTGAGGCGAGAACTCCACCTGTAGGTCTCTGGAATGATCTCATGATCTGCTTAAAATTAATCTTTATCTGCATTTCCACCCACCGCCCACTCCAAAATACACCTGGCATCTGTTTCTTGGCTTCTAGTTTTATTTTTTAATTTAATTTAATTTAATTTTTTGCTGCTGCAGGACAATAATTCGGTCACAAACCATTTATTATTATTTTTTTGCAGGGCTCTGAAAGCACACACAGACACACTCACATACACAGTATGTAGGCAGCTGAAATTATGATTTCAAATTATGATTAATTTTACACACACACAGAGTATGTAGGCAGCTGAAAAATAAAACAACATATATACTTGTCCTATTTACACCTCAGCAAACCACAAGCACAATTTTGTAGGAAAGGGCAAAGAGCCAAAGGGCCACTAAATTTCACTTCCTGAGGATCTCTGGGACTTTTTTTTTTAAAACCCAAGCTTGTAGTCCTCATGGTTAATGATATATTAAAAAAGCTATCTGAAAAGCGCCATAGCCAGAAGTCTGGCTGCATATTAATGTGCCCTTCCCAGCAACGGTGCTTCTCCCTTAAAGCAGAGCAAATTGAAAAAAAGGAAGAAAAAAAAAAACACGAAATAAAAACAATTATGCAAATGTTCCTCGTTTCGCCCTCTCCTTTACGTGGGCTGCCAAATTTTGCTTCTCCTGGGGGGTGGGAGGGGGAGAAGAGGAGGAAAAAAACCTGCGAACTCAAAATCGCAACTGTCCCACACAGCTCCACCTGTTTTAAAAAGCAGCTTAATTTTAAAAAGCCTTGGGGAAGATTTGGGTAGAAGGATCGATCTATTTTGTTACAGCAAAAAAATCACAGAGGGAGAGAGAGACACACACACAGAGAGACAGAGAGATAGAGAGAAAGATAGACACACAGAGAGAGAGAGAGAGAGAGAGGGCGAGAAACAGAGAGAGAGACAGAGACAGACAGAGAAAAACACACACACACACAGAGAGAAAGACAGAGTGCGAGACAGAGAGACACATACACACACACACAGAGAGAAAGACAGAGAGAAAGACACAGAGGGAGACAGAGAGAAAGACACAGAGAGAGACACAGAGAGAGAAAGACAGAGAGACAGAGAGAAAGACACAGAGACAGAGAGAAAGACACAGAGAGAGACAGAGAGAGAGAAAGACAGAGAGAGACAGAGAGAAAGACACACAGAGAGACAGAGAGAGACAGAGACAGAGGGAGAAAAACACAGAGAGACTGAGAAAGACAGAGAGCGAGACAGAGACAGAGAGACATACACAGACACACACAGAGAGAAAGACAGAGAGAGAGACAGAGAGAGAGAGAGAGAGAAAGACACAGAGAGAGACAGAGAGAAAGACACAGAAAGAGACAGAGACACAGAGAGAAAGACACAGAGAGAGAGAGAGAGAGAGAGAGAAAGACAGAGAGACAGAGAGAGAGACAGTCAGAGAAAGAGAAAGAGGTTGGATAGAGGCCGGAGGAAAAATGGCATTTTAAGGGAGAGCAAGAAACTTACATCGGATTCCCTTCCCCTTTGCAGTGTAGCACTAAGCTGTCTCCTTCTTGTGGATGCTCCGGTTTGGGTTCAATCTTTGCCGTTGGTTTGTCTGAGGAGAAGACGACCAAGGAGAAAAAAAAAAAGAGGAAAACCAGTAAGCAGAATTACTAACATCGTTACAGGTAGTCTTCGACTTACGACCACAACGGAGCCCCCACGTTTCTGTTAAGCAAGGCGTGGTTTTTTTTGTTAAGTGAAGTTTGCCCCGTTTTATGACCTTCCTTGCCACGGTTATTAAGCGAATCACGGTGGTTGTTAAGTTAGTAACCCGATTGTGAAGTGGATCTGGCTTCCCCATGGACTTTGCTTGTGGGAAGGTCGCAAAAGGGGACCGCGGGACCCCGGGATACAGCAACGGTCATAAATATGAATCGGTTGCCAAGCATCTGAATTTTGATCGCGTGACCATGGGGATGTTGCAAAGGTTGTAACTGTGAAACACAATCCTAGGTCATTTTTTTCAGTGCCGTTGTAACTTTGAATGGTCACTGAGTGAACTATTCTAAGTCGAGGATTACCTGTATTCTGACTAGACAACTATTGATTCATTATTACCCTGTTTCCCCCGAAAATAAGACCCAACTGGAAAACAAGGCCTAGCATGATTTTTCAGGATGCTCGTAATATAAGCCGTACCCCCAAAATAAGCCCCAGTTAAGATCGTCAACCAGATGGAGGCATTTAGTACCGTATTTCTCCCAAAATAACACCTAACCGGAAAATAAGTCCTAGCATGATTTTTCAGGATGCTCGTAATATCAGCCCTACCCCAAAAATAAGCCCCAGTTAAGGTCGTCAACCAGATGGAGGCATTTAGTACCATATTTCTCCCAAAATAAGACCCAACTGGAAAAGAAGCTCTAGCATGATTTTTCAGGATGCTCGTAATATAAGCCCTAAACCCAAAATAAGCCCCAGTTAAGATCGTCAACCAGATGGAGGCATTTAGTACCGTATTTCTCCCAAAATAACACCTAACTGGAAAATAAGTCTTAGCATGATTTTTCAGGATGCTCGTAATATCAGCCCTACCCCAAAAATAAGTCCCAGTTAAGGTCGTCAACCAGATGGAGGCATTTAGTACCGTATTTCTCCCAAAATAAGACCCAACCAGAAAAGAAGCCCTAGCATGATTTTTCAGGATGCTCGTAATATAAGCCCTAAACCCAAAAATAAGCCCCAGTTAAGACTGTCAACCAGACAGAGGTGTTTAGCAGTGTATTTGCCCCCAAAATAAGACCTAACTGGAAAATAAACCCTAATGCGCCTTTTGGAGCAAAATATTAATATAAGACCCTATCTTATTTTGGGGGGAAATACCGTATTCTTTATTGAGTTCACCAGAATCTAGAGATGGGTCGCTCCGTTATCCTAGCATTTGCATCAAAGCCTTTCTTGGCATTTCGCAGGCTTCCTGTTCTTTCTCTCTTGAACTTTTTAAAAGATATTTTTAATTATTATTTTTTTTTTTTTTAAAAAAAATCAACGGGAGGCTGACACTTTGCCGCAAAGCGAAGCAACCTAATTCTCTCATCGTTTTTATTTCAAGAAGGCCTTTTATTTTGTCAGACCTGCCCTAGCTAGATCCTTAGGAAAGAAAGCCCCTCGACTCCGTTGGCTTGAAGTGATAGGTTCTCTTAACTAAGGATTTAATGGTTGCAGCAGAAGCGAGGCAAGATCTGAGCTTCCTGCGCAAAGCATTGCCAATTTTTCCCTGTTCTCCCTGGTCCTCCTCTCTTGATCAGTCCATCACTGTCCAATGGTGTTTTGGGATGTCCGGTGCCCCTTGGTGCAGTTCGCATGCCTTTCCCAGGGTATGCATTCTTGAAGACTGGAATAGATCGGGTCTCACACCTCTGGCTTCCATCAAACCTGCCACCCCCACCCCGTTTGCTCATCTCTTTGTTTAACCTGTCAATTGCCTTTTTCCTCTCCCACTCCTTTGCAGGATGCCAGAAATTAAAAACAAGGGAATGTAATTAAGAAAACATTAGAAGGTGTAGGAATGGACAGATTAACACTTACTATTAAGGATAAAGAAGAAACTGAATATATATATATATATATTTAAATATGGGACATATTCTATCAACGGCTAGATAACAGAAACAGAAGTTAGAAAAGAAGAGCTATAGAAAGAGGAAATGGTAAAGTGGAGAGTTTTTAAAGAAGACGATGTTAAGTCTTAATGTTATTATATTATTATGTCATTATGTCATTAATAGGACGGAGATGAATTATCAAGAACAAAGATGCGTAACACGACTATCTAAACATAACCGTACCCGGAATGCACACTGATAAAAAATTGAATTATATAAATAAAATAAATAAGAAAATGAAAAAAGAAATTAAAAAGGCGGTGGGAGGAATTCTGGGAGTTGAAGCCCATCTATCTGCAAGGTTGAGAAACTGGGTGGCAGGCTTAGAACTGTCAAAATTCGGCAAGGTTTTCGAAATAAAAGTCACAGGTTTGGCCCGGGTCACGTACAAAAGACGGAGAGACGCTGCAAAGCCGATTTCTCCGAGATTTGCAGAGACGAGTGATCGACGGTGCAGGTGACGTTGGCACCGTCGTCCTCTTTGCCGACCGTAATTTCTACTTGGCTGGTGACCGTGAAGGTTTTTCCGTTGGCATCTTTGGAGACTTCCAATGGCTGGCCTGTTTGGAAGAGAGAGAGAAAAACAACAACTAAGATTGGTGGCTTAGCAAAAGGAGAAGAGAAAAGAGGAATGTAAAGGTAAAGGTTTCCCTCGCACATATGTGCTAGTCGTTCCCGACTCTAGGGGGCGGTGCTCATCTCCGTTTCAAAGCCGAAGAGCCAGCGCTGTCCGAAGACGTCTCCGTGGTCATGTGGCCGGCATGACCCAGCGCCAAAGGCACACAGAACGCTGTTCCCTTTCCACCAAAGGGGGTCCCTATTTTTCTACTTGCATTTTTTACCTGCTTTCGAACTGCTAGGTTGGCAGAAGCTGGGACAATTAACCAGTGGAACTGCTTGCCACCAGAAATTGTGGGCGCTCCATCGCTTGGAGGTTTTTAAGAAGTATCTAGACAGTCATTTATCTGACATATGATAGGTTCTCCTGCTTGAGCAGGGGGCTGGACTAGAAGACCTCCCAGGTCCCGTCCAGCTCATTCGTTCTATCAATAAATTTCAAGATTGTGGTATAGAAAGACGCAACATTAAAGAAAAAGTGGAGAGAGAGGGAGAAGGGAAAAGGAACGCGGAGAGGGAAAGAAAAACCGAGACAACTCAATTTTGAATTGTGTGTTTGCGTGTACGATTTGTTAGAAGATTGCAAGGGCCTTCTACGAATATGACTACAATTAAGTAATGGCAGGAAACTTAAGCCCGGCAGGGTAACCTGTAAGTTCCCACATCGCAAAATTAAGTGGTTTGATATTGGCATGTAATTTGCTACGACTTAGAGAATAGAATGGAATGGAATGGAATGGAAGGGAAGGGAAGGGAAGGGAAGGGAAGGGAAGGGAAGGGAAGAGAAGAGAAGAGAAGAGAAGAGAAGAGAAGAGAAGAGAAGAGAAGAGAAGAGAAGAGAAGAGAAGAGAAGAGAGAATGGAATGGAATGGAATGGAATAGAATAGAATAGAATAGAAAATAGAATAGAATAGAATACAGAATAGAATAGAATAGAATAGAATAGAATAGAATAGAATAGAATAGAATAGAGAATAGAATAGAATAGAGAATGGAAGGGAAGGGAAGGGAAGGGAAGGGAAGAGAAGAGAAGAGAAGAGAAGAGAAGAGAAGAGAAGAGAAGAGAAGAGAAGAGAAGAGAAGAGAGAATGGAATGGAATGGAATGGAATAGAATAGAATAGAATAGAAAAGAAAATAGAATAGAATAGAATAGAATACAGAATAGAATAGAATAGAATAGAATAGAATAGAATAGAGAATAGAATGGAATGGAATGGAATGGAAGGGAAGGGAAGGGAAGGGAAGGGAAGGGAAGAAGAGAAGAGAAGAGAAGAGAAGAGAAGAGAAGAGAAGAGAATGGAATGGAATGGAATAGAATAGAAAATAGAATAGAATAGAGAAAAGAAAATAGAATAGAATAGAGAATAGAATAGAAAAGAAAAGAAAATAGAATAAAATAGAGAAGAGAAGAGAAGAGAAGAGAAGAGAAGAGAAGAGAAGAGAAGAGAAGAGAAGGAAGGGACTTTGGAGGTCTTCTAGTCCAACCCCCTGCTTAGGCATTAATGACATTAATTAAGAGATCTCCTGGCCACAGGAGTCACAACCTGGTTTAATCGGCTTTAAAGAAAGACGGAGCTAAACCAGAAAGGAAAACGAGCATCTGTGCCTCCATGTTCAAGTGCAGTCTATCTGCGAATCCCGAATGGTAAAGGTGTCGCTCTCAATTTGATTAAGATTTTTTTTGATGTACATTGAGAGCATATGCACCAAGACAAATTCCTTGTGTGTCCAATCAAACTTGGCCAATAAAAGAATTCTATTCTATTCTATTCTATTCTATTCTATTCTATTCTATTCTATTCTATTCTATTCTATTCTATTCTATTCTACTCTACTCTACTCTACTCTACTCTATTCTATTTTACAAGTCGGTGGGAAACGAACCGGATGGCCCAATCTAGCATCCTTCTTAGGTTCTTCAATAGTATGTTAGTAACTTACCTGTCAGGAGCTTTTCACCTTTATTCCATCTGAGCTGAGCGGCTGGCTTACTGCCAGAAGAGAGACATTTCAACACAGCCACGTCTCCTTCCCTAAGAGGACCTGAGTAACCCGAGATTTGGGGTTTCTGTGGGATTCCTGAAAGAAAAGAGGAACAATGAGGACTAGCGACTTAAAAGCATCCCGAAGAAGATACCATTTGAAGCGGTTGTTCCCAGAAAGGATAACGCATCTAAGTTTGGAGCGAAATTATAACTCTGCCCCGACTCATTAACACTATCAAATTAACTACTAAGACTGTAGTTCTTCTCATCCTTACTAGTACCTTTCTCTTCCCGCTTGTGGCTATATCCATGTTGCTTGTATTTTTACAACTTACATCATTTTTATTGTTTCCTAAGGTAAAGACTTACACATATGTGCTAGTCGTTCCTGACTCTAGGGGGCGGTGCTCCTCTCCGTTTCAAAGCCGAAGAGCCAGCGCTGTCCGAAGACGTCTCCGTGGTCATATGGCCGGCATGACTCAACGCCAAAGGCGCACGGAACCCTGTTACCTTCCCACCAAAGGGGGTCCCTATTTTTCTACTTGTATTTTTTTTTACCTGCTTTCGAACTGCTAGGTTGGCAGAAGCTGGGACAAGTCACGGGAGCTCACCCCGTTCCGCGGCAGCACTAGGGATTCGAACTGCTGAACTGCCGACCCTTTCGATCGACAAGCTCAGCGTCTTAGCCCCTGAGCCACCGTGTCCATTGTTTCCTAGTATGATTTGTGTCAGGTTTCGATGGCATCTCAAATAAATTGCACTCCCAAACAATTAATCTTTGCTGAAATATTCCATTTATTGAGTACGACAGATCTGGCCCCGACTTCGTCGTAGCCGATACTAACCCTCTGACCCCCAAACCCTTCCCTTTCCGTTCCCCAATTCTCATCTTCTCATTGGCCATCTTCCAAGTCAGTCTCCCCAGCTTCTGACCTCAGCCCACAGGAATGTCCCCCTCCCATCCCATCTCCTAGGGGATATTATCTACAGAGAAAATAAGTAGGTGAAAAGTCAAGCCTCGTTTCCTCCTTTTTATGGCAGCATCAGAAAGCTGACAATTTGATTGCTCATTAGTATCCTATGACTACCGCTAAGAGTTTCATCTTATGATTCTTGGCGGATATATTTTATTTTTTTGTCTTTATGTACACCGAGAGCTAATGCACCAAAGACAAATTCCTTGTGGGTCCAATTACACTTGGCCAATAAAAGAATTCTACTTCTAATTAAAGATGTCACAATTGTTGCTGCTTCTCCATGAATAATCTTGTGTTTGGGGTATACAAAACAATCGTTCCTTTCCTGAAACATTTCAGTCCCTACCCCCTCCAATATATTCTCGTTTTCCCTTGGGAATTTGCAACTCATGTGCCTATATTCAGAAGCATACAGGTAGTTCTCGACTTACAACCATTCGTTTAGTGACTGTTTGAAATTAACAATGGCACTGAAAAAATGGGGCTTGTGGCAGCATCCCCGGTGTGTGTATGTGTCACACAATTAAAATTCAGATGCTCGGCAACTGGCATGTACTTATGACGGTTGCGATCCCGTTTTGCAAACTTCTTGACAAAAGCCAAGTGAACGGGGAAGCCGGATTCGCTTAATGACCATGGGAACAACGTCATGATTCGCTTAGCCACCGTGGCGAGAAAAGTCATACAGGGAGGCGAAGCTCACTCCAACCACCGTCTCGCTTAGCGATGGAAAATTTGTTGGGGGGTCATGAGTCGAGGACTGCTTGCGTTTCCAAGGCGGAGGGAAATTTTGGACTGGTTGGTGGTTTGTGAGTCCGAGGCGGGAGATGAGTAGGATATCCCAGACGGAGCCCATCCCAACATCTTGGGAAGACTGAAATGTTCTGGGAAAAGACTCCCCCGTTTTGGACACGGCTCACCACTGACCCCCTTGGCCTCACCCAAGACGGTGACCATCGCTTTTGCAGTCCGTACAGGCCGGGTGAATATCGTGCAGGTGTATTCTCCCTCGTCAGCCAGGGTGGTGTTATCGATACTTATACTCAGCTCGTTGGCCGTCGAATTCTCCAGCTGGATTCGAAGGTCTCGCAATGCTAGGTTAAAAGAAGGAGGGGGAGTGAGAGAGGGGGACGAGAGGGTCACCTTAGGCCTGTCTGTCTGTCTGTCTGTCTGTCTGTCTATCTATCTATCTATCTATCTATCTATCTATCTATCTATCTATCTATCTATCTATCTATCTATCTGATTTATATAGCCCATCTCATCAAAAAAAATCTTCCCTCCCTCCCTCCCTCTTCCTTCCCTTCCCACCTCCCTCCCTCTTCTATTTCTATCTATCTATCTATCTATCTATCTATCTATCTATCTATCTATCTATCTATCTATCTATCTATCTATCTATCTGATTTATATAGCCCATCTCATCAAAAAAAATCTTCCCTCCCTCCCTCCCTCCCTCCCTCTTCCTTCCCTTCCCACCTCCCTCCCTCTTCTATTTCTTTCTATCTATCTATCTATCTATCTATCTATCTATCTATCTATCTATCTATCTATCTGATTTATATAGCCCATCTCATCAAAAAAAATCTTCCCTCCTCCCTCCCTCCCTCTTCCTTCCCTTCCCACCTCCCTCCCTCTTCTATTTCTATCTATCTATCTATCTATCTATCTATCTATCTATCTATCTATCTATCTATCTATCTGATTTATATAGCCCATCTCATAAAAAAAATCTTCCCTCCCTCCCTCTTCCTTCCCTTCCCACCTCCCTCCCTCTTCTATTTATATCTATCTATCTATCTATCTATCTATCTATCTATCTATCTATCTATCTATCTATCTATCTATCTGATTTATATAGCCCATCTCATCAAAAAAAATCTTCCCTCCCTCCCTCCCTCCCTCTTCCTTCCCTTCCCACCTCCCTCCCTCTTCTATATCTATCTATCTATCTATCTATCTATCTATCTATCTATCTATCTATCTATCTATCTGGTTTATATAGCCCATCTCATCAAAAAAAAAATCTTCCCTCCCTCTTCCTTCCTTCCCTTCCCACCTCCATCCCTCCCTCTTCTATTTATATCTATCTGTCTGTCTGTCTGTCTGTCTGTCTGTCTGTCTGTCTGTCTATCTATCTATCTATCTATCTATCTATCTATCTATCTATCTATCTATCTATCTATCTATCATCTACCTACCTACCTACCTACCTACCTACCTACCTACCTAATTTATATAGCCCATCTCATCAAAAACAAGCTTCCTTCCTCCCACTCGTTGTATGGGTATGCTGTGTATATACCGTGTTTCCCCGAAAATAAGACCCTGTCTTATATTTTTTTAAACCCCGAAATAAGTGCTCGGCCTTATTTTCGGGGAGGTCTTATTATTTTGGGGCGGGTGGAGCAAGATGGGGCTCCTCTTGCCATCTTACCTGATTTCCAGCTCTGCGTTTAAATATTTTCGGGGAGTGCTTATTTTCGGGCGGAGACTTATTTTAGCGCATTCGCTCAAAAGCCCGATTGAGCTTATTATCAGGGGGATGTCTTATTTTCGGGGAAACAGGGTACGTACAATGACAATAAAGTTATTATTATTAAAATAAATGCTGGATAGAATTGCACGCTCTAGTGGAAGGCGAGGAGTCTGTGTTTAGGGGACATTCGGAGGCAAAGGAATCAGGAAGAGGTTGCAAATTGTTCAGAGCCACTTATATTTGCGTGAATTCCAGACACACAAAATACTACAAAACCTTTCTGTGCAACACTTCCTTAGGAGACAGGCTGTTGCATAGGGCCTTTCTGCTAACATTCATCTTCACACCTTCAAATACACGAACAAAAGTTGGAACCAGCAAGCCACGGCTTAGGTGAATTGCCACGCTTATCCGTGGCTGCGGACCGAAGGAAACGAAGGGACCGAATTTCAAGAAAAAAATAAAACCAAACTTCTCCCTTACTTCCAAATCAAAACGAAGAAAAAAAAAAACGAGCGATTCACAACGTTGTAAATACTATTAAAGACAGTGTGATATGACATGACATCCTTGGAATTTATCAGATGAAAATCAATAGGCTTCCCCCCCCCTTAAGATTTATAGGGCCGAGGCATTAATCAATAAATCACAGATCACATTCAGATAAACATCTCGGCCATTCAACAAATTAAGAGCAGCCAGTGTTTCTCTCAACGCCAAGCCTGGAGCAAAATCATCGGTTTGGGAATTCTTGCATAGAGTCGGCTTTGTTTGAGGATGGCAAGAAGAAAAAACAAAGTTTAATCTGTTTAACTCTGGGTGTATACATATCACGGCTTCAAGTCTGTATCCTACTTGTAATGCATAATAGGAATGGAATGGAATAGGATAGGGTAGGGTAGGATAGAAATGGAAAGAAGAGAAGATAAAATATGGAATGGAATGGAATAATGAATTAGACTTGACTAGACTAGACTAGACTATAATAAAATGGAATGGAATGGAATAGAATAGAATGGAATAGAATAGAAAAATAGAATAGAATAGAATAAAAGAGAAAAGAGAAAATAGAACAGAAGAGAAGAAGAGAAGGGAGAAAAGAGAAGAGAAGAGAAGAGAAGAGAAGAGAAGAGAAGAGAAGAGAAGAGAAGAGAAGAGAAGAGAAGAGAAGAGAAAATATGGAATGGAATGTGATAATGAATTAGAAGAGAAAAGAAGAGAAAAGAAGAGGAGAATAGAGAAAATAGAATAAAATAGAAGAGAATAGAGAAAATAGAAGAGAAGAGAAGAATGGAATGGAATGGAATGGAATAGAATAGAATAGAATAGAATAGAATAGAATAGAATAGAATAGAATAGAAAATATGGAATGGAATGGAATGGAATGGAACGGAACGGAACGGAACGGAACGGAACGGAACAGAACAGAACAGAACAGAACAGAACAGAATAGAATAGAATAGGAGTTGGAAGGGACTTTGGAGGTCTTCTATACCAACCCCCTGCTCAGGCCATTTCAGATAAATGGTTGTTGGGTCAATGAGATATGTGTGATCCAAAATAACTCATCTTCAGTTTAGAACAAACCCCCACCCCCAAACCCCCAAACTCTCCCAGATTTTAAAAGTAGCCAATTTGGGCTCTTTGAGAGCCAATTGTTCTGCTTTTGAACACCGATTTTCCAAGCGTGGCCTTTCGAAGGCGTTAGTCATGCCTTGTAGTGAGAAGGAGGAGGATACTGAAAATACGTAGATTACATCAACAATAAAAAAAAATGTATTGTGTTCTTAGCATATTTATAGCTTCCAGTTGGGAGAAAATAAATCACCCATAATATTCTCCTTGAGGAGGGAAAAATATATATATATATATTTGCTAGTTGCTCGGAGGCAATTCCGAATCGCCGCAGGTGAGCAGGGAAAACGGACACCTTTAAGGTTTGTAGATCGTCCCCTTATCTCTTTTACCCAGGCAGGAGAAATCCCCATTGAAGCAAATGCTTTATTTCCTTTTATTTGACAGAGTCGAGATTCTCCGAGAGGCCGCTGGATTTTCACCTTCCCCTCCGTGACGTCAAGAAGGCAGATTTGGACACCGAAGAAAAAGCGACAGGTTTGCAAATATCAAGCGCGACAAAACAGAAGCTCGGTTTGGAAAACCCGGTTCCAAATTAAACCGGGAGGATTTGGCCCCGTGACTAATCGCATTTGTTATTGGCGGCTCTGACAGTCTACGGCAGCGATGGCTAACCTTTTTGACGTCGCGTGCCAAAAGCGGGGGAGTCATGCGTGTGCGTGCCCACACCCATGATTCAATGCCCCCCGGCGCCCCACCCCCACACACATGCACACGTGACCTTCCCCATGCTCCCCCTACTTTTGGCACGTGACGACAAAAAGGATACCGGTGGGCCCAGTAGGCCCGTTTTTCATTCTCCTCAGGCTCCAGAGGCTTCCTTGGAGCCTGGGGAGGGCAAAAACAGCCTCCCCCATTCCCTGGAGGCCCTCCGGAGGCCGGAAAAAGATCAGTGGGTCTGGAAAGCCCAAAAATCAGCTGTCTGGCATGCACATTCGCGGTAAAGCTGAGCTAGGGCAATGCTTGCGTTGTCCACAGATATGGCTCTGCAGATATGGCTCTACGGCGTTTCCCTATTGTTTGGGATTTAAGCAGTGGTGAAATGTAAAATTTGTTACTACCGGTTCTGTGGGCGTGGCTTGGTGGGGGGGCATAATGTGATTGGGTGAGCGTAGCCTACTTTCACAGCTGTGTCTCGCGATCATCAGAGCCTTTTTTTTTATTTTTAAAAGCATTTTTTTTTACAACCTATTCGGGCGAACCGGTCCAAACCGGGAGCATTTCACCCCTGGATTTAAGGATAAATCACGGTAAATAAATTTGGGGGCTGTCACCAGCAGTAGCCACAGCTGTCGGCCTCCCGCCTCTGGGCTCTGTTGTGGGGGGGCGGAAATGATGCCACACTGGTGTTACCTCTCTTTTCTCCAAAGTAGAGCGTCTGCTGAGCAGGATTGGACCATTGGAGCGAGGAATCTTCTGGGTCCTCCACCTTGCAGGAGAGGACGACTTTCGAACCCGCCACCACGACTTCATCGGAGGTCGCCGGCTGGCTTCCTGTTTACAAAAAAGAAAAAAAATGGATGCAGAGATTGAGCCACAATTTAGGGGCGTCGTCGAAAGCTCGTTTTGGTCCCTTCTTCACCTAACCCTGAAACCCACTCAATTTTTTTGCCAGCAAGGGGGAGTTGCCAGCCTCTCCTTCTCTTTTGGGACGTCTTGAGGACTAGAAGCTTAGGTCAGCTTTGGATGCTAGCCAACGCACCCCTTTCTTCCGTTTCCCGCGGCTTATTTGACCAGCGACCAAGCAAAGGAACCAAGACGAGGTGGCTCAGTGGCTAAGATGCTGAGCTTGTCGATCGGAAAGGTCGGCAGTTCGGCGGTTCGAATCCCTAGGGCAGGTCTCCTGCGCGAGCAGGGGGTTGGACTAGATGACCTCCAAGGTCCCTGTTACTGTTACCGACTCTCTCGGCGGCACCAGCAAAACAGGAAAAACTTCCTTTCGTGATTGACCCCTTTAAGATTTCCAAGTCAAAGCGCTTCATTGATACCCCCCCTCTCCTCCTCCTCCAAGAATTCTGGGGGTGACTTTCATCTCAGCACATTCTCCACCGCGTAGTAGTTAATCCAGGAAAGGCAGGTCATGCCCCCCTCCCCACTCCCAGTTCCTCCCTCCTCTTGCCCCCACAGGCCGTCCCATCCTCTGAAGGACTCACAAACATCTCTTGGACGGGTTCCCAAGCCCAGAGCTTCTGCTCCTGCCAGCGCCCCCTCCCAACTCCATCCCAACAAACAACCAGTCCCTTGTCTCGGCCCGGCTGCCCCCGTGTTACTATTCAGAGTCAGCCCTTCGCAAACAGCCACATCGAGGGAAGCTTCCAACACTTCACATGACAAGGCCGGCCAGCCAAGGAATTTCGCCAAGTGGGCGCAATCAGGTTTGGTCCGAACGGCTGAATTAGATTTTCAGAAGGCCCGCTGGGCACGGTCGATGAGTCCCGAGAGAGGGGGGGAGAAGAGTTCCCAAAGAACTGGGACCCCCCAATCTGTCCTGCGTCCCCTAAGTGGTGGTCGAAGAAACCTTGTTCGTAGCCAGATTTAAAAAAAAAAAAAAAAAAGAGCCAGGTTCAGATGCCAACCAGTTTTCGCGCCCGTTTCTGGCTCCTTGGCCAATTGCTAAATTGGGATTGGTCCTGCCTCTGGCCCAGTGCTGAAATCCAATTTTTTAAACTACCCGTTCTGTGGGCGTGGCTTGGCGGGCGTGGTGTGATGTGATGTGGCTTGGAGGGTGTGGCAGGGGAAGGATATTGCAAAATCTCCATTCCCACCCGACTCCAGGGGAAGGTTAATGCAAAATCCCCATTCCCTCCCCACTCCTGGGGGAAGGTTACTACAAAATCCCCATTCCCTCCCCACTCCAGGGGAAGGATACTGCAAAATCCCCATTTCCTCCCCACTCCAGGGGAAGGATACTGCAAAATCCCCATTTCCTCCCCACTCCAGGGGAAGGTTAATGCAAAATCCCCATTCCCTCCCCACTCCTGGGGGAAGGTTACTACAAAATCCCCATTTCCTCCCCACTCCAGGGGAAGGATACTGCAAAATCCCCATTTCCTCCCCACTCCAGGGGAAGGATACTGCAAAATCCCCATTTCCTCCCCACTCCAGGGGAAGGATACTGCAAAATCCCCATTTCCTCCCCACTCCAGAGGAAGGATACAGCAAAATCCCCATTTCCTCCCCACTCCAGGGGAAGGATACTGCAAAATCTCCATTCCCTTCCCACTCCAGGGGGAAGGATACTGCAAAATCTCCATTCCCTCCCCGCTCCTGGGGGGAAGAATATTCCAAAATCTCCATTCCCACCCCACTCTGGGGCCAACCAGAGGTGGTATTTGCCGGTTCTCTAAACTGCTCAAAATTTCCGCTACCGGTTCTCCAGAACCTGTCAGAACCTGCTAGATTTCACCATTTTCTCTGGCCCCACCTGATGTTCGGACCTAGGCTCCCTTAACAAGCAGGAGGCAGAAATTGGTGCCGGCAAAACTTCTTTTATTGACACGACTGCGAATTACTGTTCATTCACAGTCAACAAGGTTTGTCCAAACAGCTTTGCAAAGGAATAGTTATCAACACAGACCTTATCTCATTTGGCAAGCTGCCACGTAACTTGTTTCCAACTGCAGTACAAGGCCAAACTTGGCACAGAGTCTCAGAGTCAAGGAATGAATGAATTGTTTCCTGCAAAAGCCCACTTCCCATTTGCTCCTCTTTTGTTTCCTATGGGAGGGGCCAATCACCTCCAAGGTGTGGCTTTACTCCTGAGTCGACCCTGCTTTCTGAGTTGTTCTTGTCTTCTGGCAGCTCTGCGCATGCACACAGTGGGAACAGGCTCCAGCTGTTCCTCTGCCACACTGCTGTCTTATCTCCCTCTCTGCCTTCGATGCAGAGCCCTCGTCCGAGCTTTCCCCAGCTCCCCCAGGACTTGTCCATATTCCTCCCAACCTCCTCACTATCCGACTCTGCTGCCAGCTCTGCTGGCCGCTGGCGGGGCACAACACCCGATGCCTTCCCAAAGCTTGCAGATCCATGGCATGGATAGAAAGGTTTCCCTTTCCCCAACATTTTATTCCTTTATCGAAATATAATATAAAATGCAAAAGAAAAAAATAGGAAAACAAGGGAGGGAAAAGGGAAAGGAAAAATGCATAGGACAAGGAGCCTGGATAGCTCTGCAGACAAGGCACTGTAATTTAATACCAGCTGTCTGCAATTAAAGTAAGTTCAATTCTCACTAGGCTCAAGGTTGACTCAGCCTTCCATCCTTTCTAAGGTGGGTAAAATGAGGACCTGGTTTCTGGGGGCAATAAGCTGACTTTGTATAAATATACAAAAGTATGAAGGCTATTGCTTAACGCATTGTAAGCCGCCCTGAGTCTCCGGAGAAGGGCGGCATATAAATCAAATTAAAAAAAAAAAGAAGGGGAAAAAGAAAGAAAACATGTTTCAAGAAAACTCCCCACTTCTTTTGAATAAAAAGCAGGGGTGAAATGCTCCCGGTTCAGACCGGATCGGGCGATCCGGTAGCGATTGTGGCAGGTGGTTCGGAGAACCGGTAGCGATGGCGGTGTGAGGCTCCGCCCACCCACCCGGGTGTCATTACTTCCTGGAACCAGTAAGGAAGGTAAATAGATTTCACCCCTGATAAAAAGTAATAGTATAAAACCTCATTTTTTAACTTCGATATAACACAGGTGATTGTCCACTTGCAACGGTTCGTTTAGTGACTGTTCAAAGTTACAACGGCCCTGAAAAAAAAGGTGACTTAACGACCGTTTTTTCACGCTGACGACCATTGCAGCCTCCTCGTGGTCACGTGATCAAAATGCTCGGCAACTGGTTCATACTTACGACCATTGCTGGGTCCCCTTTAGCGACCTTCTAACAAGCAAAGCCAATGGGGAGGCCAAGTTTGCCTAACCACCGTGTGGCTTGCTTAACAACTGCGGCGGTTCACTTAACAGCCGTGGCAAGGAAGGTCATAAAACGAGGGCAAAGCACCCTAAACAACTGCCTCACTTAGCCAGAGAAACCCCGTGCTCAATTGTGGTACTAATCTGTCATAGATACTAGCTGTTTCTATAACAACAAACCGATCTAATCGGCAAAGTTTCATCCTTTTTCCTCCCACCCCAAGCACAAAGTCCAGAAACGGTTTCCAAGCAGAAACAAAATTAACGGTGTCCTTTTCCTTTAATCGGAGCCATCCATTTAGCCATCTCTGGGATGGAAAGGCTTCCAAGGAGATCCTTCCATCCTCCAGAGGTGAGAAACCGGTCCACGCCAGATGTGCTGGGTTCATCTTCTTTTTTTTTCTCCATCTTCTCGTCATCCGAGGCGTTAATCCTCGTGCTGCGGTGAATTTAGTTACCTTCTGCTGTCAGAAGTCATCCCCTGTTTCTGGCTTTTTAGTTGCCATGGGAAGAGAGAGACGGGTTTTGCACTGTCTTCCTAGCTCAGAATATACGCGTCCAGGATCCTTGTCACTCCTCAGCTGTCAATCATCCCGGCTCAAACCGAACGAGGACAAGGTGGAGTTATGGCGAGAAAGGGGGAGAGGTGTCACTCTCCAAAACTGGGTCAAGGAAAATGCGCACGGTGGCAGCGAAGGAAAAGATCGGTTTCTTCTTTCTTTCTTTCTTTCTTTCTTTCTTTCTTTCTTTCTTTCTTTCTTTCTTTCTTTCTTTCTTTCTTTCTTTCTTTCTTTCTTTCTTTCTTCCTTCCTTCCTTCCTTCCTTCCTTCCTTCCTTCCTTCCTTCCTTCCTTCCTTCTCCTCTTCCTCCCCAGACAGCAAAAGAACAAGCTGGTTTTGGCATTCAGCCTTTGCAACCTGTTTCTGTTTGTTCGGCAGCCAAAAAAAACCCAGAAAAGGGAATAAATAAATAAATAAATAAACACGGAAAAAAATTGCCCGTGGAAGCGACTCGCTGGAAAAAAAAAAAAAGCAGGGATATTTTACGTTTCCTCCAGCTACAGACTTAGGGGTGGGAGGAAAAAAAGGGGGAATCTCCGGAAGCAAAAAGGGACTTGGTCGAAAGCATCTGTCTGCCACTTTTGCAAAGTTCAACGAAGACCAAAAAGCGAGGCTTCAAAACAAGAAGCGAAGGAATCTCGGATGAGATGGCTGAACGCTTTGCACCATCCTGCCAGCCTGAATGCCGAATTTTTTTTGTTTTTGTTTTAGCCTTTCTCTTGCAAACCTTGGCAATTTGACAAGATTTCTGGGGCAAGGGAGGCCACCTGGAAATGTACGAAGAAATGGCCAACGTCCTGCGGATTCTGTGAAGTTTCAAACCTGTTTTTTTTCTTTTCTCATTCATGAACTCCATGTGTCCAGAAAGGAGAAAGATTTTGGGGGCTGAGAGTGTTGTTGTTAGTTGCGAAGTCGTGTCCAACCCATTGTGACCCCATGGACGACGTTCCTCCAGGCCTTCCTGTCCTCTACCATCCTCCGGAGTCCATTTAAGCTCACGCCGACTGCTTCAGTGACTCCATCC